GCACGTGACACGTGGCAGCGGCTGAGAGCATGCCAAGTGAACCTTGTGGGGCTCCCTCAAGGGGTACCTCTTGGTTAGTTGCTCCCTGTTTACAATGGTTTTACTTTTTATGGTTTATTTTTTCTTCTGTTTTTCGTTTTTGTGTATTACAAAAATATTCATCGTATATTAAGAAAAATTCATCGTAGATTACAAAAAAAAATCATCATGCATTATAAAATGTCCAACGTATATTACAAAAATGTTTAATATGTACATATAACTTGTTTAGCATATATTAAAAATCACTGTATTAAAAATGTATCGTATGTTACAAAAAGTTTAGCATGCATTATAAAAATATTTAACTTATATTACAAAATATTTCAATGTGTATTTAGAAATGTTTTGATAAAAACCGACAGAAAAAAGGGCTCTACAGCGCAGGTCACCTATAGTGTGGGTACTACAGTGAACTGGGTGCTGCAATATTGAGCCGCTACAGTACCATTTCTCTTCGTTGCGTCCATAATGGGTCGGCCTAGTTGGTTTGCGATCTGTGCGAAGGCTCATAAATTTGACACCCGTAGGTGTCCTACAGAGGCCTCGTCCTAATCAGCGTCGAATTCACTAATTAACGGGTACTTCAACTCAAAAAAAACAATTAATGGGTACTTCCTCTAAAAGACATTCCTATCTTGTTAGGTTATGAAAAGTGACACGCTGCATGTACGTCCTTTACGGCAACATGTGAGTTTTTTTTTTATAGATTCGTTTATTCAAATATTTTATCTCTTAAATCATGCATCTAAATCTTAAATCGTTTTTATCGTTGGTTTCTCGTGTCGAGATATTTAAAACTAGATCACATGTTGATAGATTTCGATGGACTTTTTTTCACGAGTAAAACCGGACAAAAAAACTCGAACTAAGAGCATGCCTTTCCGAAGAGGCACGCGTTTTTTTACTTTTTGAGAGGCACGGCCGTGCCTCTTGCGAAAACAAATCCATGTCTCCACGAAAAGTAAATTTCTGTCTCTTGCGGAATGAAAAAACACATGTTCTTTCTCGCGGAAGCAAATCCGTGCCTCTAGCAGAACAGGAAAAAAAAGAGAAAACACGTTTTTTTTTTCTTTTCAGGAGGCACAACCGTGTCTCTCGCGGAAGCAAGTCCGTGCCTTCACGAGAAGTAAATCAGCGTCTCCCGCGAAGCGAGAAAAATATGTTTTTTTTCTTTTTCGAGAGGCACGACCATGCCTTTTATGGAAGCAAATTCGTGCCTCTAACGGAACTAGAAAACGTGTTTTTTCCCTTTCCGAGAGGCACGAAAGTAATTCTGTGCCTCTCGCGAAATGAAAAAAACAGGTTTTTCCCTTTTCGAGAGGCACGACCGTGCCTCTCGCGAAAACAAATCCGTGTCTCCACGAAAACTAAATATGTGCCTCTCACGGAACGAAAAAAATATATTTTTTTCCTTTCTGATAGGCACGACCGTGCATCTACGGAAGCAAATTCATGCATCCACGAGAAGTAAATCTCTGCCTCTTGCAGAAGGAAAAAAATACACGTTTTTTGTGCAATTTATTTTTTGATTTTTTTGTTCAAATCCTAAGAAAAACCCCGAAAATGCGTAGAGAAAACGAAAAAAACAAAATCCAAAAAAAGCATACAGAACGTGACACACCATGACGACTAAGAGCACGCCAAGTAGCGCCCTACTACGGAATTTCCTATATGACGCTCTTTGCGTCAAACTGTCGACCTAACGCACACAGCGATAACACCTAACCTAACACTGGGCCGGCCCATCAGAGATAGCTAACGTGTAGATTTGCATCTGTTTTGTGAACCTTCTGGAAGGTTCGAGCCCTGGTCTTTATTGGTTTTGGGAACCTTCTAGAAGGTTCCTGAACTTTTTTTTTGTTTTTGACTGGTTTTCAGTTCCTATATTTTTGTTTTTTGTTTTCTGTATTTATTCTTTTTTCTTCTTCTTCTTTTTCTTTATGTGCCTGTTCAAAATTTCACAACTTCTCAAAAATTATTTGGGATTCAAGAAAATGTTTGCATTTTCAAAATTGTTCGCAAATTTTCAAAACATGTTCATGTTTTCAAAATTTCTTTGGTAGTTTGAAAAATGTTCCTGTTTAAAAATTTGTTTGCAAATTTAAAAAAATGTTAATATTTCCAAGTTTTGTTCGAGAGTTTCCAAAATTGTTTGCAAATTTCAAAAAATGTTCGTGTTTCCAAATTTTGTTCTAGAGTTTCAAAAAATGTTCGCGTGCAAAAGTTGTTCGTGTTTCCAAACTTTGTTTTGGAATTTGAAAAATTGTTCCTGTTCAGTTTTGTGGGGTAATTTAAAACATGTTCCCGTTTAGAAAACTGTTTGGGCCTCCAAAATTTGTTTGCATGTTGAAAAATGTTTGAGTTTTCTCAAAATTTGTAAAAAAATAAAGATGTTCTCATTTGATAAAACATTCACGTTTTGTGAAAAAAAAAGTTTTGCGTTTGAATTTTTGAAAACGTTCGGATCGGCGTTTGAGTTTCTTAAGGTTTTGCGCTTTTCTGGAATCAAGAAAGCTAGCTAGCTCAACTGGTTCTGTTCGTATGCTCGGAAGCGGCGGGTCTAGCGTACGAATCTTGGCAATGCATCCTTTTTTATTCCAGCGTGATCTACTGTTCGCGAGTGAGATGGGCCGGCCTAGTCGACAGATTTGCCTGTGCGTTACGTCGACAGTCTGCCGCAGAGAGCAGCACATAGGAGCTCCCCCCTACTACTTCAGCGCAGGTTCGTAACTAGCGCTCCCACCGAGCGACACCTGAGCTGGCCCATTTGGTCGTCGCTCGGCTGCCCGAGTCGTTCGCCAGCTCGTTAGCCTCTTTGTTAGGAAAACAGTAGTTTTTGGTTCTGGAAAACAAAACAAATACCTGGTTTTCTGAAGAAAAAACAGGAATATTAAAAAATTATTAATAAGTTCTTTTACAGATTTTAAAATTTTCACGTATTTGCAAAATATTATGAATTTGAAAAAGTTCACATATTTTAAATAAGCTCATGGATGAGAAAAGAGAGTTCAGGAACTTAAAGAAGAAACCAGAAAGCAAAAAAAGAGAAAAAAATTCAAACAAACCAAAATAAAACCATAAAAATGGTTGTGCTTCCAAGGCATTGGTTCACGGCAGGTGAGAATTTTATGGTCGTTGTAAACATTAGTCGTGGTTGTGCTTTTGCGGACAAAATTACTCTCATCCTTTTTTCGCAAGTTGATTAGGGCAAACTCCCCTCGATCTTCATGGGCATGCTCGTGGATTCTTCTCCCCTTCATTAGCCACTCTGACAACCGGTAGCTAGGAGAGGAATTCTAGTGCCTCGTTTCCGAGTATTAGATAGTTTAGGATTTTTAGTCCATGCAGGGCGACGCTTAGGTGGATGGCGACGCTTCTTCTTCATATCAGTCTTTTATGCTTTGATCCTCCTCCAATTCATCTATCACGACGGATTAGATGGAACGCCGACGTAGATTTCAGCCAGGTCCTCGGGGTGTCGATGTCAGGGTTTCTCGTCATGTGTATGTGATGGTGAGATCTGATGCCAGGTTCTTTGGATCGGTTCAAGGGCTCAACGGCGGCTCCAAGAAGTTGGTCTTTAGAAGCACATGCACAAAGACTTTCCACCTGTCGTCGATAAGGTTAGGCCAACTCGGATACGGGAGCGGCGACAACGGCGCGTCGACGGGCAACAGCAATGGTCGTTCGGTGGTTCAGGGGCCTCGTTGTCATTTTTATTATGTTTAGGATGCTCTGTACTTCTAATGAACCTTTACAATAGATTTGAGTCATTTTTGCAAAAAAAATTACTCTGGTTAAAAAAAAGGGTCATGGAGGTTTGTGTCTTGCAGAGTCGATTGTCTGGATCTAGTGTGTCATGTTGCTTATGTTGGTTTGGCTATTTGTTGAAATCTTACCTCGACACTATGGCAATGATCTTGTGATTCAACTTGTTTGCACTGCCCATCTTCCTCAAATACGTTCGTCGCTTATGACTTTTCAACTTTTTGTACGAGTGATTCAAGGGCTTTCGGAAAGTTTTATTGCATTTCACCTTCAAGGATTAATACCACAAAGAAGATGTCTTTAAGAGGTTTCATTATAATTACTAAATGCAAGAGCTACTTTGTAGTTTTTCTAATACTGTATCCAGATAATTACATTTGTACTATTTGTGAATTTACATGTATTAAAGGAAAAGGTGAACTGACTATTATACATCCAACATTGTATCTTTCGATGTTCCTTTTTTCTGCTGATATTTCGATGCTTCGTTAGTACTCCCTCTATCCCAAAATATAAGAACGTTTTTAATACTACACTACTGTCAAAAATGTTCTTATATTATGGGACCAAGGGAGTATGTCACTGGATACTCGTGTTTTCATACCATTTCACCGGTATCTTGTACGTAACCACTATCCTATTTTCGTATCATGCCCTGATCCTCTGGCGACGCGCACGTAACTTTCAGCTGGGCATTTTCATAGCACTAGTTTGGTATTTTCGCGGTACATGAATACACAAGCTCGTCACTGATTGCAAGACGGGTCATGTGGCTGTAATTGCTACGACTTCCGTACAAAACGCCAAGAAAAAGATGCCTCTATGGTCTGCAATCGGCATGGTGATATGCTGGCTGCAGGCATAAATACATGGAGGAAGCACCTGTAATGCAGCATGTATGTATGGTTGATGATTTTTAAAAGCAGAGAGAATTGCATCCCGTGATCACGGGTAATGGTGTATAGCAGCCAGTTGGGCGAGTCCCGCCGTCCACATGTGAACCGGCCCTGCCATCACGCCTGGCTCCTCCTTTCTCCATCCGCCATCTCCGTTCATTCATTCCCTCGCCCTTTTCCTCCTTTTGATTTGATCTGGTAGACGAAGAAGAAGCTTAGCACTTGAGTTGCCGGCCTATAAATTCACACGCGCCCCACCAACTGCATCAAGCCATTAACCAGCAAAAGCAAGCGATGGCAGCGGCCTCCGCCTACGCCGTTGCGGTCGCTCTCTTCTTCCTGCTCGCCGCCGATGGCTGCTGCGCCTGCTTTTGGTTTCTGCCTGCCATATTCTGCCCCGGACACTCCCCTACACCTACACCCGCCCCCGCTACCCCCACCCCCAGCCCCGGCAGCGGCGGCAGCGGCACCAACGTCGACGGCGGGGGCTGGCTCGACGCCAGGGCCACCTGGTACGGCGCTCCCGGCGGCGCCGGGCCGGACGACAATGGTGGCGCGTGCGGGTTCAAGAACGTGAACCTGCCGCCGTTCAACGCCATGACGTCGTGCGGTAACGAGCCGCTCTTCAAGGACGGCAAGGGATGCGGCTCGTGCTACCAGGTCAGCTACTGTGGCCGACATTGCAGTTGCTTGACACTGACGGTAGAGTGCTTGTCGTTTCGTTTGTTTTTCCAAGCTGATGGATCTTGGATTGTTGCGCTGCGTTGCGTGCAGATAAGGTGCGTGGCTCACGCAGCGTGCTCCGGCATCCCTGAGACGGTGATCATCACCGACATGAACTACTACCCGGTGGCCCGCTACCACTTCGACCTCAGCGGCACCGCCTTCGGCGCCATGGCCAAGGACGGCCGAAACGACGAGCTCCGCCACGCCGGCATCATCGACATGCAGTTTAAGAGGGTGCCGTGCCAGTACCCGGGGCTGTCGGTGACGTTCCACGTGGAGCAGGGGTCGAACCCGAACTACCTGGCCATCCTGGTGGAGTACGAGAACGGCGACGGCGACGTGGCGCAGGTGGACCTCATGGAGTCGCGGCCGGACAATGGTGAGCCGACGGGGGTCTGGACGCCGATGAGGGAGTCGTGGGGATCCATCTGGCGCCTGGACACGCACCGCCCGCTGCAGGGGCCCTTTTCTCTGCGGGTCACCAACGAGTCCGGCAGGTCGCTCGTCGCCGAGCAGGTCATCCCAGCCGACTGGCAGCCCGACACGGTGTACAGCTCCCTCGTCCAGTTCGATTGACCCCTCCCGCTCATCCATGCACGTCCATGCATGGGTTAGTCGTGCCAATTAAGCTAGCTGAGACGTCGCTTGTGACGTCCGGTGTGTGTCGTCTTCGTGTGCTAGCTACGTGTTCTCTCTCGTAGCGCATACGTTTTTCATGGTATACTTGTCTCGAACAATATAATAAAGACATTTTAGCTACTAGCAAGGGCATGTGTGTTGCAACGTGAGAAAAAAAATCTTAATCTTCAATGGTCATTACCACATTTTGCTGCATCACTGAGATACACTATCACTCTCAATTTCATGAAATGATGAACAATTCTTTGAAATGATGAACATTTTTTTAAACTTGTGCATATATCTGAAATCGTGAACATTTTTCAAATCCATGAACACAATTACAAATTTTTGAACATTTTCTAAAATCAAAAACATTTTTTGAATTTATGGACCTTTCATACAATTTCCAAACATTTTTTTAAATAGTGAATATTTTTGAAACAATTTTCTTGAATCCATGAACATTTCTCGAATTAATGAATATTTTTTAAAAAAATTGGTGGAACAATTTTTGAAATTATTGAACATATTTTGTTCTAGCAAAAGGGCCCGTGCGTTGCAATGAGAGAAAAAACTTATAAACTCCAATGGACATGATCACATTTTGCTGCATCACCGAGATACACTATCACTCTCATTTTCGTGAAATCATGAATATTTTCTGAAAATCATGAACATTTTTTAAAACTCGTGAACATGTTTGAAATCATGCACATTTTTTAAAATTCATAAACATTTTTACATATTTCCGAACATTTTCTAAGATCATGGAAATTTTATACTATTTGCAACGTTTTTAATTGTGGACATTATTTTAAATGTTTTTCTTGACTAGAGCAACACTTCTAGAATCGACGAACATTTTTGTGGAAATTGTTTGGTGGAACAATTTTTGAAATTCACGAACATTTTTTTGATTTAATGAACACTTTTTGAAATGCGTGATCATTTTTTGAGACAATGAACATTCTATGAATCAATAAACTATTTTGTAAGTCATGATGAGTTTATGAAGTTTTAGGATATTTTTCAATTCATGAACATATTTTGAACTGGTGAAATTTGGTTTCATTTCATTAACATTTTGAATAGGCAAACTTTTCAAAAAAATAAATAGAGGGTTTTTATTCCCGACCATTTGTTTCGAAATTGTGAATATTTTTCCAATATTTGAACATTTTTAGAAAAAAAATCATAGACATTTTCTCTGTCCACAAACATTTACGAACTATTAAACATTTTATTTCAAAATTATCATTTTTTTAATTTTCCGAACTTTTGTAATCCCCAAATTATTTAAATGGGAAAAAAAGGAAGACAAAAAAACAAAATTTGAAATTTGTAAAACAGACCGCCCAGATATGGGCCGACCAAAACAGGCGCGTTGTTTCTTCTCCCAGCTTGCAGAGTGTAGTATAGAAGATTTCTACTGGGCCGGCCCAGGCAGGGATTTCCCAGTGTGAAATATTTTTTATACTTATAGGTGTCACCAGTGGGTAACATTTTTCAACTTTGGAGGTAATTTCCAATGACGTACCGCCAGAAGCAATATCCCAGAAGCAATATCCCCTTTATTATTATTAGCAAAAGGGCCCGTGGTTTGCAATAGAATAAAAAAAGCATAATCTCCAATGGCCATAACTACATTTTGCTACATCACCGAGATACACTATCACTCTCAATTTTGTGAAATCATGAATAATTTTTGAAATCATGAACATTTTTTTAAACTCATGCACATATCACAAATCATGAACATTTTTCAAATACGTGAACACTTTTACAAATTTTCAAACATTTAATCAAATCGAGAACATTTTTTGAATTTATGAACATTTTATACAATTTGCAAATGAGCTTTTTTCAAAATAATTGAATCGGCGAACATTTCTAGGATCGAAGGATATCTTTTTGGAAATTGGTGGAACAATTTTTGAAATGCAATAACATTTTTTTGATCTAGCAAAAGGGCTCATGCGGAGCAATGGGAGTAAAAGAATTCATAATCTATAACAGCCATGGCCAAATATAGTTGCATCATCGAGATACACTATCACTCTCATTTTTTTGAAATCGTGAACAATTTTCAAACAATTATGAATATTTTTTTAAACTCGTGACCATATCTGAAATCATGAACAATTTTTAAAATTATTAATATTTTTCAAAACTCGTGAACATATCTGAAATAATGAACAATTTTTAAATTCGTGAACATTTTTATAGATTTTTGAACTTTTCTAACATGAACATTTTATCATATTTGCAAACATTGTCTTTAATTGTGAACATGTTTTTAGAAAAATCTTGAATAGGCGAATATTTGTAGAATCAACGAACTTTTTTTGGAAAATTTTCGTGAAACAAAATTTTAAATTCACGGACATTTTTTTATTTAGTGAATAATTTTTGAAATGCATGATCATTTTTTGAATTGGCGAACATTTTATGAATCAATAAACTATTTTGTAAGTCACGAACAGTTTTTCAATTCATGAACGTCTTTTGAATTGGAGAATTTTGTTCAATTTCATTAACATTTTAAATACATAAACAAAAATATCATGAACATTTTTTTGATTTCCCGAATATTTGTTTTCAGAATTGTGACTATTTTTCGAATATGCAAATAATTTTTTTAACGCAAGCATTTTCTGAGTACACAAACATTTATGATTATTAAACATGTAATTTTGAAATTCATATTTTGTATTTTCAGAACATTTTTTTAGTTCCCAAACTATTTAAACTAGAAAAAAAGACAGAAAAGAAAAGGCAAAAATAAAATACGAAATTTAGAAAACATGTCACCCGGCGCGTTGTTTTTTCTCTACCAGCGGGCAGGGCGAATTATAGAAGGTTCCTATGGCGCCAGCCCAGGCGAGTATTCCGTTGTATGAAACATTTTTTATCACTTATAAGTGGCATCGATGGGTAATATTTTACAAATTTTGATGACGTACCAGAAGAAGCAATAGCCCATTTAATAAATTTGGGTCAGTCAGACCATTGATTGTTACTTCATGATTCGTGCTCCTTTATTTTCTGTTGTGTGGAATGTCATGTATTTGGGCCGTTGATTTTTGATTAACCTCTGTTTCGCGGCAACTAATTCGTTAATGGTTACAATGCAGCAGGCGTGATGAGAAATCTTTAAATCATTAAAGTAAATTCTTTAATGGTTTGAAGACCCTTTACCCGACGACCTAGACCTTCCTTCTAACCCTTTATTTTTTTCCTGCTTTTCTTTTTTATGTACTTTCACTTTTGTTATTTATTTTTCTTTATTAGTTAGTTTTTTCTTTATTTTTGTTTCTTGGGTATTTTTAAGATGTTGGTGAATGCAAATGTATACACATAAATACTGTACAATATGTGCCAAAATTATATTATTATATGATTATTTTGTGCATACTACACAACGTGTAATTTCGATGTAAAGTTGTGTGCGAGTTTTTCTTCTCATTTCCTTTCTTCTTAAAAGGTAATATCAATGCCAAAGATTGCTTCTTCTTTAAACAATGTTATTATTTTTATTTTATTTTAGTTTTTATTTCATTTTCTTTCTTCTATAATGGTAATACCAATGACACAAATTTATTCCTTCTTAGGAAACATATTTTTTGTAAATTTCCAATATTATATACTCATTCTTGCATATAATTAAAAATCACTTTTTTGTGCCAATTGGGTGCTAAATTTTGTTTGTTTTTCATTTTTTTATTTTCTTTCTTCTTAAAAGGTAATACCAATGTCACTAATTTATTACTTTCTTAGAAAATTTCATTGTTTTGGCTTTGTTTTTAGTTTTTATGCTTCTTAGAAAACGTTATTATTAAAAAAATCATTTTCTTTCTTCTTTAGGGGTAATACCGATGCCACTAATTCATTCCTTCTTAAAAGATCTATTTTTTTTGTGAAATCCCTCTATTATATGATTAAAAATAGTGTAAATCATGTGCAAATTTGCAATTGTTTGTTTTAGAATTTTTTATCTTCCTTTTATCTCAGAGGGTAATACCAATGCTACAAATTTAGTTTTTTCCTAGAAAACTTCATTATTTAGATTTTGTTTCATTTTATTTCCTTCTTAGGAAACTTTTGTTTTGCAAAAAAAAGGAAACTTTTGTTTTGCAAAAACCTTACTATTGGCTTATTCTTACATATATTATAAAAAACAATTTTGTGTAAACTATGTGCAAATTGTGTCATTATTTCTTTTTTCTTTTTTATTAAAGTGTAATACCAATGCCACTAATTTTTCTTCCTTGGTAAACTTTATTATTTAGATTTTTTTCTTCTTTAAGAGTAATACCAATGCCACTAATTCATTACTTAGAAAAACTTTTTTCTGCAAAACTTCCACTATTCCCTTTTAGAAAGCTTCTTTTTTATTCCTATTCCGTCGCCGGCCATGGATGTCGACTGTGTTGTTCCCGTCTGACGAGTTGGCTTGGAGAGGTAGTTGCTGGTGCGAGAGCGACCAGCTTGCTCTACCGTGTTTTCATTGTGTACATGGCCCCATCTGTGCTAACATGCACTACATGCATTGTGCATTCTTTTTTTAACACATGCATGCCATATTCTGCTAGCAGGTGGTGGCATAGCCGTTGTCAGCCTTTGGAGTGGAATACAACAGCATCATCACATAGTAATATGTTGAACAACAAGTTTACCTTGGAAATACTGAGTTGATATTCTTTTTATTTTATTTTCAGTTTCTACTAAGAAAAGGTTTGGAAGGTAGCTGTGGCACATGCAACAAAACAACAAAATGATGGAAGACAGGGTAGTGTCACTACTGGTGGAGATGAGAGAAAGACTAATAGTTCATGGTGTCATCATAACCCAACCCATCGAGAATGACCGTCCCGCCGACCGTGTTGTGGTGTTCGGCCTGCACCGGGGAAGCGCCGCTGACGTGGAGGTCAGAGATGCTACGCGGGTTGGCCGCG